ACACTGCTGAGCTGCTGTTTCCTAGGCCATTTTTCTCGTTGTCCCGCGACAATCGATCATCGTAGCTATCCCGCCTTCCACGAATCACGCTGAAGTCACAATGAGGAAGCAGAATATATATACGGTGTCAGTATTGCATGTCTGGCAGCCCTTTGCGGTTTTGTTAAATTGGGTATCATTGTCCGTACGCGCCGAAGTGTGGTACGTGGCGACGTGTATCACTACACTTCTGGGCTTTAGTCTGCAACGTCCTCGTGATAGTATCGAGCAACCAGAAGGATCCAAGGGAGGCTCCACCCAACATGGTGCTTTCTGGCCACATTCACCAGCGTGAAACCGTCATCCCCGTGCCAAGGACAAAATCAAGAAGAGGCTGAATGTGGGAAGGCTGTCAATGGAGATTTAAGCCACCGTCGCGAACACACCAGTGACTACATATGAAGGAAGAAATGTCCATGGAGGCACATGAATATGAGGAAAGTTTAGTGTCACGGCTATGTCATCGAAACACATGTCATCTCTCTAGGATATTCATTTCGGCGGGAGTCGCGGGTATTGTCGCTGAAACGGCCGTGGAAGTCGTGGAAACTCCCGTTAAAGCTCATGGACAAGCCGACAATGGTGTCGAACGTTGCAAACCTAAGAACTACAACCTAACTACGATGTCCCAAGACTACACTAAGCTATTCGCGTGGCAACAGCGTTCCGTTCTAAGGCAGGTACAGCTTACCACGCTCACTCTCTTAGATGCATAACGAAACGACATGCATGTCAATTTGATTGGAAGCGAACAAACGGTGTTGTCCTTTGGAACTCATCGATGACCACCCCATCAACTGCGCGTGATTGTCTTCCTACCGGTTTACGCGTTTGTCTGCCTGCGCCCGCTGGACATGTGTTGCAACCTCAGTGGGATACCGGCGGTAGTGAGACGTATCGAAGCGTTGTGTCTCACTACCTCCGAGGCGCCGATGGGGTCATGATGTGCTTCGATGTCAACAGCAAGGTCGGGCGTCCTTCTTGGCCAAGAAGAATTAACAAGTTTTCACCGTTGTTGTACTAAGAATACCTGCTAACGTAAACGCAGGGTGTCCCCGAGCAGTAACGAGCACTAGCGCCTTGCATGAGTCCAGGTGATGGGCGTTTTACGAACGGAAACGTTGATGAAGCTCTTCCTCGGTGGGGACAACGCCTTCTGGTGGTCTAAGCGCATGCTCTAGCCATACCATTAATGACCCCCGTAGCGTGGGAGAAAAAAAGCCCTTGTAATATGGGGAAAATCAGCTGACCTTTTCTTCAGGGGAAATAGGAGCTCTGTGGTCGCTACAAAAATCTAGTTGTGTTCCACCACAGCATGCACGCCGGTGTATCAAAACATTGACGGTGGTGATGTTTCTCTTGCCAACAACAACAACAACAGGAGACTCTCCGCTCGCTGAGGTTAACTTGGGCGCCTTTCTTGGACAAGCACACTCCAAGAACCTGTAGGGTCTTGCTCGCTGGAAACAAGGCTGACGCTCGGGGCGGTTTCGGCGTGAACGGTGGAGAGGTCTCTCACGAGGATGCAAAGGTACCTACTCGTGCAGCGGGTAGTGTTCATATGCCACGCCCCCCACTTTGGTATACGACACTCTGCCGAATGTATCGCTCATAGGTTTTTGTCATTATAGTGTCGCTTCTCGTCGAAGACCGGGTACAGCCCTCAACGGATGACAACCTGCCTAGCAGTTAAAACTGTTTCTGCGAGCAGTGGACGCCACATTTGCTGCGTTGCCCACCCATCCCTAAGATCGCTGCGAAGTCTGATGTAAGTTTTCTCTGCGGAGGTCGACTTGCTGCATGCCCGTTGCGCTGTTGGTGATGATGAGAATACACCCCACCCGTACCAGTTCTCGTACATGACAATGTGTGTCTGCCACGGTTGTGGTTTTCGTTGTTGCAAATGCATCTATCGCATCTATGGACCGCAGCGCTTCGCTGAAGCGATAGAGGCGCAGGTGTTCGAGACCAGCGCAAAGCTCGGCACCAATGTTGACGCAGCGGTGATGGCACTCATGCAAGAGGTCTTACACCACCGGCAGTTTGCCGCGGAGGACAAGGCCGGCTCGAGCAAGAGGGGCTCCAGGTACCGTTGTACGGCATGAGAGACAATAAAAACGTTCCAACATCGGATTTGCCGTTGGATAGTATGGGGAAGAAGTGGACCGTCTCCATGGCTACCGAGGCACGAGTGGCAGCACATGCTACTGTCGCGCATTTCGTTCTCCCGTGCACCCTGACACAAGGCAAGAACATTTCCTCCCAGGTCGTTGAACATGAGAAGACTTAATGTTAATATCGGCAATTGTTTGGGACAACACCTCGCGAGGGATGAGTGTCCCGCGATATTACCGAAGCCACAAGAAGTGAGACAAGAAAATTGTATCCGACTATCGCTCGAATGGTTAACGAGTACTCACGTAGTCGTGACATTTCAAAACCCTACCCTATGTTGTCTGCCCCCGGCCCTGGCCATCTGTCCTTGGTCTCTTCCAGCCCGGCGCGAAGAGGACGGAAAAGACTCTCTGTTGCCCTGAAGGGCGTGATGGAACGTAAAGGCGACCGGGATACCGCTTCCTCGTGTGCTGCCCAGAGCGGAATAAGCAGAAGCCCCGCCAACGTGAGGCGGAAGGTTAGGGTGTAGGCCGTGGACGAGACGTTTCGTATGTTCAGATCTCGCTGCTCTGAAAAATCGATCTATCGCCAGCGACACAAGCTCAAACCATGACGCACATGGCATCAATTCTGATGTATTCGCGAGTGCGCCCCTAAACCTACGTGTATTCATTTTCGTGCCAATCTGAACGAATCTCTGTGGCCATTCAAGATCAGGTGTGCATACATACGACACCTTTCCCATCTTTCCGAACTCCTTCCCTGTGGTATCTCTATGGCGGTATCACAAACCTCGCTTGCGTCCACTCACTTGCCTTATAAAACACTTGCCGCGACACGAACTCCCGCAAACCATTCGATTCGCGTAGGCCCTTTGCGCCGATGCTACCAACACGGAAGGGACAAGCTCTGTGTACTCCAGTTCAGCCTCCCACAGAGACGGCGATAGCTGCGACCAAGAAAACAATGGTAGGGACCAAGAGGACCACGGCAGAATGTGGTCAATACTTCCCAGCACCGATGACGGCATCATTCTAGGCGACGGTGCGGAAGACCGAGCCGATGATGCTCGTCAGCAGCAACAACAAGTCAGCGCACTAGACAACAGCATCGACGCCAGGCTTAGTAAAGTGAGCAGGGACTGCGAGTCGGAGAGTGGTCGGCGCGGTGGAGGAACGCCACCACGCGATAGCGCCCGGGACTCGAGCCACAGCGGCTTCAAAAGAGGGGGGCGCTATCATCTAATCAATAAGCTGGTCATTGCTTCACCTTCTTCTCGAGGAGCGAGAACCGAGGATATCGACGTACATCGGTGTTGTGATCGTGATGATCAAATCACCGGAGGGTGCCGTCGTCAGCCCAGCCACGTGGAAGAACTCGACGGGCACAATCGCGGCAGCAAGGCAGACAACCGGAACGTGACCTCTTTCCCAAAGCCTGGCACCGTCATCACACCGGAAGTGCAGGCGAGATCGATGAGACCCGTGGCTGCTTCTCGCGACAAGGCGTCGTCTCGTGTTGCTGTGGGCCGTGCGCCAGCACCCGTGCCTGACGAGCGGCACCGGCTACGCGGCGGAGGCATGGCGGAGGCCGGTCGAGATTTGGTCGTGCCTGAGAGGAATAAAATATCGGTAGACGCCGCCATGCGCGAGGCGCCACCCTATCATCCACCCGCTGCAGAGCGTTCAAGTACCTTCTCGGAAGCAACCTCGCCCCCCGTAAAAAAAACAGACCAAGAGCGGCGAGATGTTCATAGGGGGACACCTAATGGTGGCAGCGATCGCCGTAGAATGGGGTGCAATAACCCTGCCATAGCATCCGCCAACTCGTCCTTTTCGACGGTTCTGGCCGGGCACGACCATGCCCACTTCCAGGTGGCTTCTCCTGTTCCGGAACAAGAGTAACGTGAAAGTTGGTTATACCTCAGGATGGTCGTATGCTGCGTACAGTCAACCGGAAGAAGGTTAGTCTCACGCTTTAGTCTGGTGTTGTGTGGAGTTGGTGGAAGCCACGGACCGCGGATTGCTCAGGCCTGGAGTCTGCTATTGCACGGGAATTGTAAATATGAATCCTTCATCATGAGTCGTTCATGACTGTGGGTGATGGTACTCAGCCGGGAGACGCCACACCCCGGCTCTTGTACTCTGCCGGAAAGACGCTGGAATTCCCGTCAACTTGTTATTTTCAGCCGGCTGATATGATAGGTGCTTTGCTGGAAGTGTTTCATTCTGCGGTCGCGACCATTTGCGTGCGTGCCTGTGTGGCACGCCCTGGTAGGGAAAATAAAAGCAAACCTATGCTGCAAGAATTGTTCAAGTCAACGCAACAATTTGGGCTCCGATATAGAAGATCAAGGCTGGGTTGTTGGCCCTTTCGCCCAGATATACCGCACCCAAGTTCCAGTAAACGATTCACAGGAGAATCAGCATTGGTGAGGCGTTTATTTGCCGCCAAACGGGGCCAGGTGAAAGCGCCCAGGAGGTCGTGCACGAGTTTTAAGGGTGGCTCGAAAGCTGGAACGTTTCGCGACTGGACCATTTCTTGTCATCACCACCGCGAAAGGAATCAGACGAATGAAACCATCACGAGGACGGGCGCCCGCAAGTGAATACAGCTATATGCACCCCCTCTTCTTTTTCGCTGCAGTTTCGCGCACGCGACCGTCAAACACACAGTGCCGTGTGCGGTACCCCGTCGGTTCGACCCATGCCACGAACACGTAACACAAGAGCACGGATGCTCCGGACAAAAGGCTTGCCAGCGGTGACTCCAATGAATTTCTCAACATGGGTTTTCAAGGATGCACTGATCGGGGGAAGGTATGTGACATCCAATGCATGACTTCGTCACACCAATGGGCTACTCCCCCAGGCCAATTCGACCTCTACGCCAGGCCAGACTGGCAACGTTTCACTAGGACGGTTTGTGGCCATCGGGTGCTCGAGGGAGACAGAAGGCGTGATGCTATCGAGGCGTAGTGACGGGAAGCCTTGGTCGAGTGTTAGCTTCCGGAACGACGCCGGCCAAGATACCCCGTCGAAAGACTGGTTGAAGTCATCGGAGAAGGCCAGATGTTGCAGCGATGCAAGCCACCGCACGCTTTTCACCGGTTGGTTGAAACACTTGCCAACAACTATCGTCTGCAGAGATTCTGGCCAGAAAACGTCTCGAATCGGCTGGTTAAAGCGCATGCCAAACACTAACGTTTGCAGCGATTCCGGCCACGAAACGTTTTCGATCGCCTTGTTGAAGTGCATGCCGAAGGTCAGCCTGAGCAGAGATACCGGCCAGGATACGTTGTAGATCTCCCGATTCAAGCCGTTGAACAGCACAGCTCCTGTAGTGACACAGGCCACACGACGAAGTCCACCTGCTGGTTGAAGTACTGCCCGAAGCGCAGCCTCCGCAGTAACGGTGGCAACAAATCACCGTCGACTGGCTGGTTAAACTCCTCGCAGAAGGTCAGTCGTTGCAGATTTGGGGCCACGCGACATCACTGGCCTGCTGATTGAACTCCCACCCGATCTTCAGCTCCTCCAGCGAGACTGGCCACGCTTCCTTAGCAATGGATTCGTTCAAATTTGCTTCAAACTCCACCTGCGCCAGCGAAGCTGGCCACACTACGTCGACAATAGGCTGGTTGAAATCAATCCCAAAGATAAGCCTCTGGACAGACTCAGGCCATTCGAGGCTATGGATCGGCTGATTGAAGTATGTCGCGAACCTTACCTCCTGCGTCGAAGCTGGGAGGACAACCCCGTTGATCCGCTCATTGAAGTCGAACCCGAAGACCAGTCTCTTCAAAGACGCTGGCCATTTGACACGGTCGATGGGTTGATTGAAAGCCTCCTGGAAACTCAGCTCGTGAAGTGAACGTGGCCATTTCACGTCGTGTATTGGCTGATTGAACTCTGCTGAGAGTCTTAGCCTCTCCAACGCAGCCGGCCACCACACGCGGTGAATCGGTTGGTTGGAGCTTCCGTCCAAGATCAGCGTCTTGAGCGATGCTGGCCACAACACCGTATCAATGCGCTGGTCAAAGGCGTCGCCAAACGTCAGGCAGTGGAGTGATGCCGGGAACACACGGCTGGTTGAATATCCCTGGTAAGGTCAGCTTTTGCAACGAGCGCGGCCATTTGACGCCTTGAATAGGCTGGTTGAAGTGAGTTCCGAACTCGTGCTGCTGTAGAGATGCTGGCCACACCGTATTCTTGATTGGGTGATTGAAAGGAAATCCGAATTTCAATGCCTCGAGCCCACGTGGCCTCACGATTCCGTCCACAGGATCCTGGACTTAATCACCAAACGTCAAGGATATTAGCGCAGAAAGGTTGTCACCCGTGCGCCCACGAAACTCTGAACCTGGTAGCTCCCACACTACCGCGCGCGGTTGCACGGCAGGTACACGCGACGAACGGAGCCTACCCTGGGTCCCGGCGTTGCCATTCGTCCACAGATGTCGAGGAGTCCCACAATGGATTCTCAAGCGGAATGCTGGCACGCTCCGGCAGGCAACGCAGAGCTGAAGCGACGCGAGCTGCAGCTCAATGATGGATGTGCACCATCCTGCCCCGTCGGATGTGTCGTTCAAGATCACCGCGAACGCGTCCATACATCGACTGGTACCTGCGGACGGACAGCGAACAAACGAAACACGGCTCTGTTTCGAGGATTTGAAAGACAAGGTTGACATGTAAATTGACTGACATTAGTATTCTCGCCGTACCCACCAAATTTGTCAACCTGCGTGGATCGACGGATCTTGGGGCCAAGATTTGTTGCAAAAAGTTGGCCCTTGATAACCGTGGGACAAAGATCTGACGCAAGATAAGATCTCTTCTCATCGAAAGTGAAACACAGAAGCGTTGGCAAAGATCAAAATTTGACGCCAAGACTCTGCTTCCATGAAGACCGGTGTTTGGAAATCGATCGTATCAAGCAGGGCGGCTGTTTTGGAGTACTTGGATACGAGATCCGTCTCGGAACGTATGTGTGTTTAGGGGGCATGCTGTTAGGGCTCCAAGTACGGAGCTCTTCGAGAGCGAGCACGCACATGTAGTTCAAGTGTGTGTTTATCTTCTTGATGTTTGTGTGCCGGAAGGAGCAAGGTATATTTATATATTTAATGAAGAATTTAGACTATATGCCATCATCATCGGTCCTGGGTTAACATAGTCCCCATAATACGGGTCGGTGCGGTAGCTTCCGCGGGAAGGCACGGAGGCACGAATAATTAATGCCCCAGCTGGCTCACGAGGTTTCTACTTCAGTGCATCGGCTCAAACAGACGCAAAAAAAAACAGCATCCAGCAGGTTTTCTACCAAGACTGTCAACGCATCCCTTTCTCGACTGCTATGGAACGCATATTATCTCGAATGTGTAGTCTTTCAGTGATCGCACGTCTACTTCCCCAAAAGTCGACTGTACATCATCTGAAAACGATTCATAAAATCGGCCAGACAACATTTTCGGTTGCGGCGGCACCGGACGAGACTGGGTTTTTCAATTTTGCAACCGGTGGGCTTTTGCAGACAACATGGATGGGGTTACCCTGTAATATTACGCATATTAATATTAGTCTATATGCGCGCCACGAAGAATCTAGTCAATCTGCAGTATGAGCGGGCCAGTGTGACGGTCACTAGGCCGATTCGCACTCGTCTCGGGTGGGGAAGCGACGTAAGGACTTCGAGATAGCCGGGGGTGGACCGGCTCTCAAGGAGGGTTGATTCCACTCAACGAACTCCATCATCATTGTTGTGTGGGAGACACAGTCTACATGCAAGATAGCGAACTTCATATGGGAGTTAACGGTGCATTCGTTCGGTGCAGGTGAGCATTGCCAATAGACTATAAGTTCCATCGCCCAGAGGTAAGTCATGCACCGCAGCTCTTGTAATCCGCCGCATGGAACCCACACGTTGCGACGCGCTCTTTCTCACCTGGGAGGCCTTCCGTCGATTCCATCACGTCCCAGAAGATGAAACTTCAATGCCGGACTTGAATGTTCACTATTCACAATCTCGTCGTAAATACGTGTGTCCTGTTATTATTAGCATCGACCGCGCTAACCGGCTGACCAATGAAAAGACGTCAGTCTTAGTGCGGTGGGAAACACAAAATGTTTCTATAGTCCACTATCTGGGACCCCGGGACCGAGCGTCGTAGGGGGAGCTACGCTATTCTCAGGATTAAAGACAGATACCGTAGTAATAACAGAAGAAAACTGCACGTGTCTACTAAGACTGTCACCCTGCACTCGACTTCGTTTAGGAGTGCTCTCTCTATCATTCTTCTTGCTTTCACCACTACTACCATCACTATTCTCATCGTCATTTTGGCAGCAACTTTTTGGCAGCTCTTCTTCTTGTCTGTCTCTCCGTCTTTTGTTGTGCGGGAGGTCCTCTGGCTCGAAGCTCTTGCTCTCTTCCACGCCATGATTCCCTTCTCGACTGCTGTCTTGGTCTCTGTCTTGTCCTCCTCTTGTTCCCTCTGTTCCTCCTCCTTCATCGTTGCCACTCGAATTTCCCTCATCGCCATCATGATGATCGTTTTCGTTTGTACTACTATCGAAATCCCAACCTATTGGCCGGGGTGGAAATTGATCCATGAGCAGTCCATGACGTTTAAAAACATCACGAGTTCGTACGGACAGGAAACGAGCCAGCTCGAAAGTAAATCGTCTCCGAATCCTATTCGTATGAAAAGCCTTCAGGCGAATCAAGGCTGTTTCGTCGGCGAAATTCCCTTTGCAAAAGGCTTCGTATGCCAAGTGGTTGGCGATAGCTACGATAAGTCGATTGGTGCCTTTGCCAAGACCACCATACGTCGAAAAAGCAGCAGTAAGGAGGGTGTGTCTGTGCTCGTGTGCTCAACGTCTTCCAAATCTCTCCCCTCTCTTTACACACGCACTCTTCCACATCTTCGCTGGCAGCTGGCCCGCAGCGCTCATCGCTCACAATTTGCGGCGGAATGCACGACGGTTCGGATGTTTTTTCTCATACTGTATCTCACATCACACGCTCGGGCCTCCCGACATCGAGTTCCCATGCACAACAGGGAGAGGCTCCGCATCAGCAAGAGGGACACAATACCTTACTACGACTCAAGATGACGCGTCAGACTGCTTCAGAAGACCTTTCTCCTACAGAGCTGGCAGAGTTCAGAGAAAGTATATCCTCAGACTTCAAGCACATGGTTGGCTTCTTTTATCTCTGTACAGCCTGTGGTCAAATTTAGGAGGGTGTGATGCCAGATTGATGACGGAATTGCTGCGTGTGATACAATTGAACATGCCATATATACCTGCGGGCAGCGGACAACCTTCTCAACTCTAACTCTCGTCACCAGCGGCCTCACTGCGGCCCACGATCGTCGCCATCGTTGATCGTTACAGTATTCGACCTTGTGGACCGAGACGGCGGCGGCACGGTGACAAAGGAGGAGCTAGGAGAACTGGTGCGTTTAGAGCCACAAATGTCGTAGTATGGTGGGTGTGCCTGTATGTGCCTATGTTATAACACCCGCGTGGATTTTCACAAAGAAGTATTTTTTGTTCTGCCGTCCGACCACAGAGAAATGTAGTTCAGGCCGTAGAAATGATGTGACGGGTATCCTAGGCCAGACTATTCTTTCGGCTTAAAAATCCTGGACGCTCGATACGTGACTCAACAGACGTGTAGACTAGTCGTTGTGGTGAACATGCGTCTGCTCTTCTGGAATTTGTAATCAGCCCATCTTCTGAACCAGATGGAAGCGCTTCAGTACCAAATCGTTTCGAGGGTTTTCCAAAGATAATCAGTACGGCCATGGCGCTCTCTCAGCGAAACAATATGACGGGCAATCGAAATTGGAAAATCGGTTCCAACGAAGGTGGTCTCCAACGCCATACCTGTACACGAAGTCTCTATTGTATCGATGACATGGCTTCATTCTGCATGAACAAGAGCTTTCTGCTGTATTCGAAATGTAAGTCTCTGAAAGAGACTGCCCATTCGGGAAAAGTATCAGAGAGGATGTGTTCATTGTTTTTTTGGTCATCGCCTCCTGAAACTTCAAACGCTTCTGATCGATCCAAAGGAATGTGGCCTGATCCGGCACATGTTTCTGGCTCTCCGTGATCTGCAGGACATATCATAGGGAGGAGCTTCGGCTGATGTCCTGACCCTTCTACAAGAGTATTGCTTTATTTCTCCACAAACCAATGTCGTTCCGAGAACACTGTTATCAAAAGGACAACTATTTACTTGGTAGGGACGCCCTGAGTGCATCGCTCGAGGGCGAGGGATCTTCCTTTTAGCACCCTCAACTACCGACTAACGTTTCATGACTGCAAAAAAAAAAACTGCGAAGATGGACACACTCGGGATTGAAGCTACCCCCGAGGAGGTTGATCTAATGATCGATGAGATCGACCAGGACAACAACGGAGAAATCGACTTTGAAGGTACGGCGCGGTGTGGGATATCTTGATATTATAGTAGCGTGTCGGTAACCGGGTTTTACATTGACTACTAATCTTGCTCTCAGCAAACCATGCACCACTTTGCCGATGCCAACTGGATTTGCAGCCAGCCTTCTTTAGTCATTTACGAAGTAGGCAGTGAGCACATAGACCGCATCGTTGCTATAGAAGATGACTTGCCACGATCGCCGCTTCAATCGTTTCCCCGACATGTTTATATATTGATTTCTCTACCGCTTATGGTTGCGCTTCCAGCCTTGTGCCGCGCATTGCTTTGGGTTCAGCGTTGCAAACCTATGTTGGAACCCGTTGACGGCTAGCCTTGCCGAACGTCGCACCAATTAAACAACTCGAGCTCAAACCCTGTTGCACGCAAACATAATTCGAAGTGGTAGGCGTACCTTTCAACGCTCTGTTGACGACCCGCAGGTAACCATGTACCAGTTGGGCTGTAATTGCCTAAACTATACCAAATCGTCCTTTTTACGCGATGTTTCTCTTGACAGAGTTTGTGGCCGTGATGTCGCGAAAAGTTAACGCATCGTACACAGCTGATCAAGTCAAGAGCGCTTTCAAGGTGGGAATGACGTATTTCGAGTTGGGGGACGAGGCGAGTGAGATTTGGCCGGGTGCGCTTGTCCGTTTTTTTGTGATCCTGATCCAGCAAACAGCGTGAAGAAGTCCTTGGCTCCGCGACCCCTTCTGGTTGTTAAAGCTTGTGAATACTGCTCTACAGGCGTTCAGAGAGCACTCCTCTCTCGCCAGTGCCATAAGGCTAGTCACTTGTGCCCCTAAAGCCACGCCATCGTCTATTCCACAACAGGACATACCATTTTTCCGTATCAATCTCTTGGGGAAAATCCCTGATCACGACGATCACTTAAGAACGGCACTGGCATCTCTAGGCTATTGAAGACAACGGTACCCCCCCCCCCCCCCCC